TCCTCAGATCTTATTCATCTTATAGCTTAAAGTCTGTACCCTTTTATCAACCTCTTCCTATCTCATCCACCCTCTAGTCCCTGGCAACCACTCTTCTGTTCTCTGATTCTGTGAGTTTTTTTGGGGGGGAGGATTTCACACGTAAGTGATACCATGTAGTATTGGTCTTTCTCTATCTGGCTTATTTCACTTAGCATAATGCCCTCAAAGTCCATCCATGGTGTCACAAATGGCAGGATTTCCTTCTTTCTCATGGCAGAATTGTATTCCATCATATAGTAGATATATACATCTTCTTTACCCATTCATCCAATGATGGACACTTGGGTTATTTCTAAATATTGTCTGTATGAATAATGCTGCGACGAACATGAACATGGAAGTGCAGATATCTTTTCAATATCCTGTTTTCATCTTCTTTGAACATATACCTAGAAGTGGAATTACTGGATCATAGTTGTATTTTTAAATTCTTGAGAAACTTCCATACTGTTTTCTGTCGTGGCTCCATGAATTTATATTCTCACCAATAGTTCACAAGGGTTTCCTTTTCTACACATTCCTGTTATGCCTGTTACCTCTTGTCTTTTGATGATATCCATTCTAACAAGTGTGAAGTGATATCTCATTTGGTTTTGATTTTCATTTCCCTGATGATTAGTGATATTGAACACCTTTTCATTTGCTTGTTGGAAATCTGCATGTCTTCTTTGGAAAAATGTCTACTCAGTTCTTCTGACCGTTTTTTAATTGGATTGTTTATTTTGTTGCTGTTGAGTGTATGAATTCTTCATATATTTTGACTATTAACCCCTTACTAGGTATATTATTTACAAATATTTTCTCCCATTTTGTAGGTTGCCTTTTCATTTTGTTGTGGGTTTCATTTGCTGTGCAGAAGCTTTCTAGTTTGATGTCACCTCACTTGCTTATTTTTTGCTTTACTTGCCTTTGCTTTTGGTGTCAAATGCAAAAAATCACTGCCCAGATTAGTGTCAAGAAGCTTACCTCCTATGTTTTATGATTTCAGGTCTTAAATTTAAATCTTTTTAAAATAAAATTTCAGTCTTTTAAATTTAACATTTTATTTATTTTATTTTATTTTTAAAAGATTCATTTATATGAGAAAGAGAGAGAGAGAGCACAAGCAGGGGAGACAGAAAAGCAGACTCCCCGCTGAGCTGGGAGCTTGATGTGGGGCTTGATGTGGGGCTTGCTGTGGGGATTGCTGTGGGGCTCGATCCCAGGACCCTGAGATCATGATCTGAGCCAAAGGCAGATGCTTAACCATCTGAGCCACCCAGGCGCCCCTAAATTTAACATTTTAAATGCTTAACCTTACACAAGGAGAGTCAATAGAGAGCATTTATTTGATTTTTTGCATTTTTAAGAAGACAAAAATAGTATTAATGCATATTTTTATAATTTTTGGATAACTTTTGGATAACCAACTGTAAAATATTTTTCACATTGTTAAAGAAGTGGCTATAACTTCCATATTGTTAGTAGGAATTAAAAGCAAAAATATAGCACAGATAGCATTTGGAAGAATAACAGAAAATACAAGGAAGGAACCATAAAACAAAATGGAATAAATAATATAAAAGAAGGAAAACCGAACATCAAGTGTGACAATTAAATATATTTGCAAATAGACAAAATTTTAGATAAAGTAAAAAGAAAATCCAATTTTATACTGTTAATAAATTTCTAACCTTAAACAGAACACAAAAAATTAAAAAAAAAAAATAAAGGCAGGGCCAAAAGTACATCAAGTAAACATAATCAATAAAGACAGAAGTAGCAATATTATTATTATAATAACATTAAAAAATTATTAACTATGATAACAAGTTTTTAAAAATCAAGTCTATACATCATAAAGACATAATAGCTATAAAACACATTAAGTTCTATAAATGAAAACTTTTGGAAAAAATGGAAGCAATTCACAAATCTCATTCAATTATATTGAAAGATTTTGATATACAATTAGTCTCAAGCTTTAAAAAACAGGAAAGAAAATAAGTATCAAAAGATGTGAATGGTATAATTAATTGGTTTGCTTTGGTAAATATCTATTTAATATTGTCTTTTATAATCAATGAACATACTTTATTTTCAAAACCTGAACTTAATATTCATAAATCAATTTCTTTGGTTTATGTCCTCAATAAATTTCCAAAAGGATAAATTGAATAGGCTACATTCCCTAATTATAAATGTGATTAATCTGAAAAATAAAAGACAAATTTAAATTAAAATATCCAAACAGAGAAATTTTAAATCATTTTCTTTTCAGAGCAAATAGGAATTTTGAATCAAATAGAAAATCCAGAATGTATTTGTAAACAATTGAGGAAACATCTTTGGTACGGCAGCATGGCAAACCTTTTAATTATATACAAATTTTTACATTAAGAGATATTAACGTTTTCATTACTAAGCTAGAGCATATTGTTATAAACCTACAAATCAAGAATTTAGGTAAAGATTTTTTTAAACATGCCTAAAGAAAGCAGAAGGAAAGTAAGAAATAAATATTAATTAAAAATAAATAAATATTAATTAGGTAGCAGAGAAACAGAATCCAAAAGCCATTTCTTTGAGAATTCAATAAAGTAAGTCCCTGTCAAGCAAAATTCACACACACACACAAAAACCCCAAGTATAAAACTAGGAATGAGAAAAGAATATAATCTAAGCTTACTTGCTCTAATTTTACAAAATTAAAAAATCTTTAAAGAATCTGGAAGATTTTTCTAGAAAAAAACACAAATTTTCAAAGTTGAATCAGTAAGCAGATATTTTTTAAAAAGCTACAATAACCAAACAAAACTTTTCAAAGTATTATTTCTTTAGAAGGCTAAAAACATTCTTTCAAGTGTAAAAGGAACAGATACTTCCTATGCTATAAAATCTGTTCCAGAACTTTAAAAACAAAATAGCTTTCTAGTTAATTTTATAAAACTGCATAAGCCTGATACCAGAAGCTGACCTATAAGATAGCAAGAGATTTATAAAGGAGGAGGATAAAATTGTGTTTTCCTAATATACTGCATTGAAAACTACCTAGGTCCAAGACTTGTTAATAAAAAGTGGATTTAATGCCAAATAAGTCTGCCAAATAAAGATACACATCCTCTTGAAGAGATCAGCAATGCACATCATCACATTAAAGATTCTGCACTTGTGTGAGAGTTATCATTAACTCAGCATATTCCAAAATTATTCAAACATAAACACTTTTTTACATTATACTTAATATTTAAATGTGTTAATGTACCTCTAATGCTTGATTCATAGTAGGTCCTTAATATATGTTTTTATTCCTTTTTCTTTTTTCCTAATTGTGAGATTTCGTGGCTTCACCAGTAGATGGCATCGATCTTAATTATAATCATTCAGGCTTTTCCTGTTGGAATGTTCACAGAGCTGATGAAACATGTTATCATTCTCAACAATGTAAAAGTAAAGGTACAGGGAACAGAAAGGAGATGAGAGTTTGGAGACATCAAGAGAAGGGAGGAAGCTCTAGGGTCTTCATTTTGCAAAAGGTGGGGAAACATGGTTTGTGCTTATTGAATGAGAAATGGAGGTATTGAGGTGACATTTGAGGAACTCAGAATAGTGACCCCACTATGTACTAATTACAGGGGATGAGAGGCATAACTCCTAATCTATCAGAGTAGACAGTCAATAGACCCTGTCCAAAGTTGATGAGTCAAGAAGTGGTATTTGCATATTATTATTTAAAGATGTGGAAGTGACCATCAGAAAAACCAACAACCCAAACTTGCGAGAAGTAATTGCCTTTGAGGAACAGAAGTGAAGTTGGGGTGCAGGACTGTTACTTTTCATTTTAAATCATTCTGCATCATTTGATTTTCTTTAACCATGTGCATATTTTGGTATGTTAAAACTTTTCCAATGTAGATATCCAAAATTATTTTTAGCAAAATTAGTGGGAGATAACAATTTAGGGTATAGATTAATACAGGCATAACGTGGCTGTCCAAATCTGATAAAACTCAATGTAAATCTTGGCTCAACCAATTACTGAGACTTGTTAGCTTCGAATAAGTCACTAAAATTCTCTAAATTTCGGTTTCTTCCTCTAAAAATATCAGTAATTATACCTAACACATAAAGTTATTTTGATATTTGAAATTGAGATAATGTGTCTAAAGCACTCAGCACACATATAGAGGGTGCTTAATATTGTCATACTTACTAGTTGTTATAAAATTATTAAAAATGATTATTGTTCTCAAGGATATGTTATAGTCGCTGTATCCTATCAATCACCCTTTATGTATGACTGTATAAATCTGTAGTATGTAAGTGGAGATTTCTTAAATGCTAATGGTCACAAAAGTTCTTCTAGTTGTTTTTCAGAATTTTAGAGTGCTTGCTTTTATTACCTGCTTCAGAGGCATCATGATGTAATGGAAGAAACCAACATCAGTTTGCCCACCTCTACCTTGGCTAAGTCATTTAATCCAATTTCAGTCACTCCATTTGTAAGATGACATTGCTGGAGATTCACCTGTCTGAAACTTAGAGTGAATCAGATGCTCATTTGAGGTGCTGGTCACTCTAGAGGCCATGGCTGTGGAACAAGAGAAGAAAGTGGCCCATTGAATGTGGGGCAATTGCGGGATCCCACATGTCGGTTAAGGTCTTACCTCTAAATGTCTGGCCCTGGGGCTGAGGGAATTTTTTTGACCTTTGAAATGAAGTTTGGTTTGTTAGAAAAAAAAATTATTCATGTGCTTTCTGAGGCATAAAAAGCCTGCTTACTTCTGTCAGATGAATTTACTCATCCAAAATATCAGGGTTCCTCTTAGTAAATTCAATTCCCCACTAAATGATACCCTCATATGCCATATTACTGAGTTTAGAATATATAATTCCACTGTCAAATTAATGGCAATGCATAAAAAAAATGCTTCCTTTTCACTGGCATCCAGTACTTTTATGAAAAAAGATCAATCAACTTTCATGCCAATTTTTATTTATTTTTCAAGTTACTCAAGAGTAAATTGGATAGGATTCTGTTTAGAAATTTACTTGCAAAAAAGTTATTTTTCAGGATATTGCTACAGAAAGCTTTGAAAAATAAAGAGGATGTGGGAGACAGGATGAGGACCTTGAATTTTAATTTCATCTCTACAAAGAAAATTCTTGACAAGCATAGTCACTCACGCACTCGGTAAGTATTTGTTGTGGGTAAGACTGATATTGAGATGACAAAAAGAATTCCTGCTCTCAAGTTAACACAGCAGCCGCAGGTCTGATGTAGGCCTGCTGGAAACAAAACACGTTGATTTTCATTTTCAAAAATAGTACAATATGGGATAATCTTGCATCACTAACTCAAATGACAAAATTAATCTACATTTAAAGGAAATGTCCTCTGCTCTCCATCCCCAAACTTTCCATCTCCAGTTTTTTCCATTCATATTTACAGGATTGGTATATAATGGAAAAATGAAAAGACAGTAAACTATTTTGTTTGTACTATTTGAGCCTTCCACCGATGAAGACTATTGCATTTTTGAGCTGGACCTTCTTGTTGGACTTGGGTTCCTAGACACTCCTCAAACAAACTTCTTGTTGGGAGTGTCCTGATTGCGTGCTGTTTGTTGTAGAGGCTGCTACGAATTGTGGTACAATTTCAAGACTCCACTGGGGTGGTCTTTACCTTAAGTCGGCTTTTCTTAGGAGGCCCAAGCTCCTGTTACCCAGCTGTTGGAGGAAGAAAAATATAGTAGATAATAGAGCTAACGATGGAGGACTGCTGAACTTATTACAGCTCCTCAGAGGAGCTCCAGGAAGCCATCAGAGAGGAAATGCCCCGAAACGAAGAGCTGTCTGGCAGGCTGTAGCAGTGTCAGCCCCCTGCCCAGAAGCCCTTCGACCCTGTGATGTGTGCCAGAACCACACCAGAGCACCCAAGAACCACACCATCACTCAACCCATCACCTCCTCATTCCTGTTACAACACCTAAGCTTACTGTAGACTTTCAGAAATTCAACTTTCAAATGCATTTTAGGATCACATCATGTGCAATGTCTAGAGCAGCTTACATACATTAAAATATGGGCAGTATTGTATAAACAGTATTTTTTAATCCACTGAATTTATAGAAGGACAATGACACATGTTAATAATAATTTTATTACTTTACCACCATGGTCACTTCAAGTGTCACACACAATGTACACATAATGGATGGCAGAAGAGCTAATAATCCAAAATTTGAATCCTCCAAGATCATTTGCCACTATACATTTCTGTATCAATTACTGTAGTCCATAAGAAAGGAAGAGTGTAAAATTAAATCTTTCTCCACATATTCTGGCTCTATCCCAACATCTTCATTAAGGTCATATTTGAAGGAGGACAAGATATAATTTAATTTTTTAACAGGACTCTCTTCCCCTTGACAAGTATTTTAGTTTAGAAATTACTTTATATATAGCCATTAGACTATTAGAACAATTGTTCTAGGAATACAGCTAATACATCAATGGGCACAAGGCAAAATCAGGCAGAATGAGTAAATAAAATAAGGAATTTGTATAAATAATATAAGGAAGATTTAAAAGGTTTGGATTAACTTTATTATCCACATTTTCTGTAATATGTTTAATTATATTTGTTATTAGGTACATTATGTAATACCTAGGGTCAAAAACAAAGACATTTTTTTTGAAAGGAGAAAAAAAAGACACATTTAAAACCCCTTTGATTAAAATCTATTTGTTTGCACGACTTCCAGAAATTAGAAAACATGGCTTCAAGTCATCATTTTTCTAAAGCTGTGTTTCCTTGCCTGGCCAGTAGTTGGGTTGTAGCAAATGATCACTTGTAGTACAATTTTCCTTCCTGATTCTTGTAGACACCATTGTTCCTTCTGTCTTGGTTCTGAAGCTTCTATGTTTTGAAACACAATTTTTCTTTAAAGTGAAAAGTACTGCGATACTTAGGAAAATGGACACTGTGCCCAGCATCACAGTTAGTCCCAGATATATGTGTCTAAAAGAAGAGAGAAACTCAGTCATAATTAGTGCAACTGTCCAACTCTAAAATGGGAAAGGAAGGTAATATTATCATTCCATAAATAGCAATACCAAGAAAATCAATCTGTCAATGAAACCAGCACGAGGATGTTTTTTCTTAAGAATGCAAATTCAGTGGCTATAAAAGACCTTCTATGAACATCTGGCAGACTATTGAAGGCAGTATGCTAATATAAAGCGACCTCTTAGTGGTGCCATAATTTTTAGTTACTACTAATTACATAATCAGTTCCATCCTCTCTGTAAATTATTCCCTTAGACCAGATGACCATATGCCTATTTGCCCAGAACAGTCCTAGCTTATGCTGGTGTTGTCCCAGTGTACTTTTTAATAGTGCCCCTTTTCACTCTCAAAAGTGTCCATGTTGAATGATAAATTATGTGGTTACCCTATCCTTGAAACTTGCCCAAATGCATGTCTACAAAAAAACTGCAAGAAGCAATGTTAAGGGAGACTCAGAGCTCTTAGTAGAGCAGAATGACTTAAGAATTAACCAAAGGTTTAAATCACTTTCTTAATGAGAAGCCTTTAGTTCTTAATTCTATCATAAAACAGGAAGGTATGGAAGGACAGGATGAATGATTTATTCTGGTCATCTTGTATACATACTCAGTCTCTGATTGAAATACATTGTCTTTACATTAAAGTAAATGCCGCCTTAGCAAATTGAGCAAAGCATAAATTCTACTCATAGGTCAAGTCCCTTTCAAAGACCAAAATAAATTTCTCACATAACATCAAAGTTTATTAAATCAAACAAACTTATTTGAGATGGTTGGCTCAATTCACATCCAACTTCCAACTTACACAGTTCAGTACCAAGCTTATTTCTCCAGAAAATGCTCAGATTGTAGGGAAAAAAAAAAAATCCTTCCTGCTTTTAAGCCATTGAAGCATTGCTTTAAGCAATAAGGGGACTAAATGTTTGATGAAATGAACTGAATGATGCCATAGTGAAAAAGCCATGCCCCTCAGCCCCATACACACTCATACACACAGAAAAAGCCTTTTACTTTTATGCATCTCAAGTACTGGAATAATTGAACATCAGTTTGGCAATAAAAGCTGGACAGATTTAGAGCCAAATCCAATCCTTGCCCAGGGGGATTATATCTGACGTAAATGGGACAGTTTGGCTCAGTTTGAAAAAGAATAGAATTAAACCCAAAATGTGACCTAAATTTAAATGCTTCAGAGCTTCAGAGAATTACCCACTTGTGTGCATAAACTTGCAAAATTCTACTGTATTCTGGAATCTTTTGTGAATTTTATTTAAAAAATGATTACTCATTTAAAATGGGAGTTAAGATTAGGAATGGGGAAAAACTGAAAGATATAGCCAAATACATAATAATAAAATTATTCTATAAAATAGAACTCATTTTTTGGTTAGATGATCCTTTTGCAGTGAAACTCCATGAGGAATGATTACTGCCCACTTCATTGTGCAAACCTGTAACGTTGTAGCAGGGAGATGCAGGAACCAGTTTGATACAGTACCTGAAAGCATTTGAATCATATAATCTGCAGGAGCCTCTACGTCCACACCTTTTAAATCCCCATTTGAGGCATGAAGTGTCAATCAAAATTCCAAAATACACGGGAGCTGGGATTCCTGCTGTGAGAAAAACAAACAATTGCTGCTAAAAATATATACCCATCTTTTTGATTATCCTATAATGAATGAGTCTCTGGAACCACCTACTTTCAAACTAAAAACAAACTGCTTTGGGGAAAACAGGTACCTGTAGAAGACCAGAATATGCTTCCTCATTGTATTTCTCTGGCATAAACGTTATTTTGAGAAACAGAAGGCACACAAGAAGCTGTGAAGACTGAGCCTAAATTTCCTTTTTGTAAGGGAAACTAAGATTTATAACAGGTCTCCATTTGTAAGGGTGTCTACCTCTCTGTACCAAGAGAAGGATTCCTAATCCCAAGAGGCTTTTATCAAAGGAGAAGGCACCCACCTAAATCTCCATAACAATTCTAACCCTTGTTTACCTTACTTTTCCTGGTCACCTTCCCATTACTTAAGAATGGGTTTTACTTATTTTATGCTGTTATCACTTTTTTATTGTGCTGAAAACACTGACTTCTAATGATATTGACATAATCTCTTATTTGCTTTATTTTAAAATACGTAATAGTTTCAACATAACTATACCAATGTTAGTATTAAAGATAAGACTACACAATGCAGTGAAGTTATGTGGCTTTGGTTAGGATTCTGCCCTTTTAAATCTGTTTTTCTTTGTGGTTATGCCTCTTATATGATATATAGCTAATTTCAGTTTGTTTCAAGAATGTCTTAGTTTCTTTTCATTGTTTTTTTTTTTAAGATTTTATTTATTTATTTGACACAGAGAGAGGGAATACAAGCAGGGAGAGGGGGAGAGGGAGAAGCAGAACTCCTGCTGAGCAGGGCTCCTGGGATCATGACCCCAGCCGAAGGCAGACACTTAACAACTGAGCCACCCAGGTGCCCCATATTGTTTTTTAATTACATAAAAACTGCATGATTTCAGTTTTTAAAAAATATTTATTTATTTATTTAAAAGAGAGAGAGAGAGAGAGAGCTCCTGAGCGTGGGGGGGGGGGACGTGGAGGGGTGGCAGAGAGAGAGGGGAAGAGAATCTTAAGCACCCTCTCCACTGAGTGCAGAGTCTGACACAGGGCTCAATCCCAGGACCCTGAGATCAAGACCTGAAAAAACTTTGCATGATTTCAAATTAAAAATTAAATCAGAGTTACATTTACAAACTCTACTTTCCATTCTGTCTTCTCTTACTTTTTCCCTTCCTTCCCTTATACGTAACTATCACCACCACCATCATCATCTTTTTAGTTTATACTTCCATTGTTTCTTTTTTAAAATGTTAGCAAATACCTTTGCATACGTGTATAATATTTCTACCTTTCCATACTTCTTACACCAAATGCATCATAGTATGAACATCGTTCTACATTTTACTTCACTTCACTTAAGGGTATAGTCTGGAGATCCCTTGGTAATATAGACTATTGTGTCCCTCCAAAATTCATATGCTGAAGCCCTAGCCCTAATATAACTGCACTTGGAGATAGAGTTATTAAGGAGATAAAGGTTAAGTGAAGTCATAAAGGACTTTAATTTGCTAGGACTGGTGTCCTAATCAGAAGAGGAAAAGATACCAAAACTCCGTCCCTCTCCATATGTACACAGGGGAAATCCTTGTGAGGACACAGTGAGAGGGCAGCTGTCTACAAACCAGGAAAAATGGTCTCAGGGATCTCACCAGACAACAGGGCTGTTGGTACCTTGATCTTGGACTTCCCAGCCTTCAGAAATGTGAGAAAATAAATTTCTGATGTTTAAGTCCTTCAGTCTGTGGTATTTTGTTATGGCAGCCAGAGCTGACTAATAAACTTGTGAACATTAGAGGGAGATTTTTCCCTATTCATCCTTACAGCTGCATAGGAATCCATTATGTGGGTTCACTATAGTTTATTCAAATATGTCATATTGATGGACAACTAGACTGTTTACAGTCTTGCTATTATACATAATGCCACAGTAATTAGACATCCATAAAATTTTACTTATTTCATAGTTTTGCTAGCAAGTTTTTGGTATTAATTTTTAGAAGTGAGATTGCTAGGTCAAAAAATAAATCTAATCTTAGTTTTGTTAGTTACTGACACATAACTCTCCATTGAGGGCTGAGACCATTGAGAAATTTTCTCAACAGCAGTGTGTAAGCATATCTATTTTTCCATACATTGCAAACAACATTTGGTAATTTGCAAATCTGGTAAGCAAAAAAAATTCTCTCAGTATAATTTTAATTTGTGCTCTCCTTACTATGAGAGAGTTTGACCATCTTTTCATATATTAAGAGGCATTTACATTTTTTTCCATGAGATGGCTGTTCATATCTGTTACGCATTTTTCCATTTGGGTGTTGGTCTTTTTGTTCTCAATACTGACGGGCTCTCTTTATAATAGGGGTATTATAAATAGTCTTTGCATAAATTGCAAAAAATAATTGTTCCCAGTTTATCATTTGCCTTTTGACTTTGCTTAAGATATTTTTGCCATTTTCAAGTATATTTTTAGTTTTATGGAATCAATTTTATGAATCATTTATTTTTTAATACTTTATTTTCTTATTTTTTAAATAGGCTCCATGCCCAACATGGGGCTTGAACTCACAACCTGGAGGTCAAGAGTCATGTGTTCTACTGACTGAACCAGCCAGGGGCCCCAGTAAAACATTTCTTTTACTTGAAATCTTTTTCTAGTGTAGGTTATATCTTTATCTCCAAAAGGAGGTAGATATAGGAACCAATTCCAGCCAGAGATATACTTCAGGCTCAATAATCTGACATTTTTCTAAGTAATCTCTGTTTTCACATTGTAGAATTAGAGCCAGCCATAATGGGATAAACTTCCATATTTGCTGCTTCCCCAGTTTCATCAGGATTATACTATATCTTCGTATAGACCCATTTTATATCAAGATCTATTTATTTTCAGATTTTTTTTAAAGATCTGAGTTCGTTTTTCTCCCTGGCAGTTCTTTTCTGTTAAACTACAGAGGAACATTTGTGATTGTTTTGCTTTATTCCTTAGAATATAAACTTTGTAGGAACAGAAAACTTATCTGCCCATTAACTCTATTTTCTATGGGTTCTAACTAATGCATATTGAAAAATCTATTAGTCAGAAAAAAAACATTCCAATTACATTTAAAAAATTGTCAACTCATAGCCATACTGTTTTGACTGTATGAATGAACTGATCTTTCTACCAAATGACATATCCCAGCATTGAGAGTAGCTCAAAAGAATTCCTTCCATTTTAACAACTGAAGAAATTATATTAAGGCTTCAGCCTTTCTTATGATTTCATTTCTTGCTTTCCTCTCAGAGGGCTCTTTCATAACAAGAATAAACTTTTTGACAATAGACCAGTGCTGGAAGAGACAAGACTGTCAGAAAAAAATGTCACTATTCTCACAAAATCACTTCATAATATCACAGGCCCAGCATTGGCTCTCAATTTCTAGAACAAAGGAAGGGAGAAGTTGAGAGTGGGAGGGAGGGAATAAAGAAATGAAGGGAGGAAGAAAATAAATGGGGACCTAACCACATATATTATTTAGTTATGCGTGATAATTCTGTAAAAATACTTAGAAAAGTATTCAAAACACATTTGTTATGGCTACCATAATTAAAACATAGATTATACTTACCAAGAACTCTTATTGCTAAGGTGTAGATACCCAGGGCAAAAGACTTAAATTGTGGCTTAATGCACCTAAAAACAACAAAAGCACTATAAAGAGAATATAGTCCATTAAAGCAAATAGTAATGTTAGTGATAATCTGCTTATCACATATGAAATGTTAGAATTCAAATAGCGTTTATGGAAAACCCATAGTGTCCTAGCATAGGGCGGGCAAATTACGTAAATCCATGTGCTATTAGATGCAATGCATCAAAGAGTTTATAGTTAATATTTCCAAAATGTAAATCACCTCTACAGGATATATTCAGATGGTATTGGATAAAGTAAAATTGTAAGTTTAATTGGCAAAACAACAAAGATTCACAGAAAAAAAATTCTAAGAAATTTGAGGCAACAATAAGGGATCAATAAACTATAACTAATTTTTGTAGCTCTTAGTCTAAAAGCACAGGACCATGTTGACCCGAGTTGATACAATTACAATTGCTGTGGCATGCTAAGTGTTTCTGCTAAATAGTGGGGACCTGAATCTAGCAGCCAAGTGCAAGAATACCTAAAATAACAAGGGCATCCTTAATATGACTGTATAGCTTTAACTAAGTGGCCTGTCGATTTTAATGGTAATAATCATGATCATATTATAATAACTATTGAGTGTTAACCAGGGTACTAATTTCTTCATGTGTATAATATCATTTAATCTCTACTTTAAAAGAGGCAAAAATCACAACTTTTCTCCTTCAATCTAAGGACATCTCCTTCTGACATCAAAACACAGCACGGTTCATTTGAAGGGCTGGTGGTGAAGATAATTCTTCATCTAGGACCCTGAATAAGCACTTGGTCCAGGCGACTACTTGACCCAGTGTAAGATGTGGAAGAAATAGACACCCATGAAGAACAATCCTGGTTTGAGAACTCTGGTGCAATGCTCTCCATATCATACTTCCATTTGAAAACATAATATCTCATGTTTTCCTTAAGCCCTTTTGTGGATGTTAGGTCCTATTTTCTGTTTATTTTTCCTAATCATTTTCCATAATATACTATGGGAAACCATAGATGTATAGAATACTTTTGATTAGCTTCATTTTAGAATAATGTGATATTCATCCTTCAATATATGAATTAATTTAAAAATCACCTAATCATCTCATAAAATATTAGTTTCCAATAAAATTTGACTTTTTAGGTTTAATAATTTTACTAAAATTTGTAATATTTTTAGATTATTTTATCAATTGTATAATAGTAATATTTGCATGGTTAATACCATTAGGAAGAAAATTTTATCACTGACAATACTAGTTACAAAACTACTATTTTAAAATTTGAATTTATGTGCTTTTTTATAGAGATCTATGATAGGAGAGTCAATAAAAAATGTTCAAACATAAATTATATTACAATAGAAGAGAAGCCTACAGGGAAGTTGAATTAAGATATAAGCACAAGAAGAAAAAAAAAAAATATGTAACATACTTACTGTAAAAGATTTTTTGTGTAATTTTAAATTAGGTGATATTGGTTATCTAATCTGTTTCCTAAATTCTCACTGATTACATTTAAGAGTGATCTACATTTAAAATTATTATATTTCTGGGGCGCCTGGGTGGCTCAGTTGGTTGAGCGACTGCCTTCGGCTCAGGTCATGATCCTGGAGTCCCTGGATCAAGTCCCGCATCGGGCTCCCTGCTTGGCGAGGAGCCTGCTTCTCCCTCTAACCCTCCCCCCTCTCATGTACTTTCTCGCTCTCTCAAATAAATAAATAAATCTTTAAAAAAATAAAATAAAATAAAATAATTATATTTTTAAATGTAAATATTTATAATATACCGGAAATCAATGCTTACTTACTATAAAACTTAAGATAAATTTTTAGATGTCCACTTAACAATATGCCAAAGGGGTACACAGTTTTAAAAATTCTTTTAGAGTTTTATAAGCAAAAACACTTGGAATCATTAACATATATTCATGGATTAGAGAATTCAATTGATTCAAAAGTTATGAACAACCCCCCCCACACACACCCATACATATAGATAATTCTAGTCAGAACAAGAAAAATAACCTACATAATAAAATAATAAATGTGAAGCATTGTGATATTAGATGAGTCTTTAAGCTATCTTAAAATTTTATCACTCATAATTCAGTGAAACCATGCTTAATCTAAAACACAATTAGCCTAGGGGCACCTGGCTGGTTCAGTTGGTAGAGCATGTGACTCTTGATCTTGGGGTTGTAAGTTTGAGCCCCACGTTGGGTGTAGAGACTACTTAAAAAAAATTTTTTTTTAAAGATTTTTATTTATTTATTTGACAGAGAGAGACACAGCGAGAGAGGGAACACAAGCAGGGGGAGCAGGAGAGGGAGAAGCAGGCTTCCTGCGGAGCAGGGAGCCCAACGTGGGACTCGATCCCAGGACCTGGGATCATGACCTGAGCCAAAGGCAGACACTTAACGACAGGCGCCCCAGAGCTACTTAAAATTAAAATCTTAAAAAATAATAAAAAACACATTTAGTCTTCACTGGATAATATTATCACCATAATTAGAAATAGCATATTGTATTTTTTGAGGGGCTATAGTGTGATACAGGCTCTCTAGACCAATGATTTACAAAAAGATTTTAACTAGAAAAACTTCTATTCAACCATATTTTTGCATAAAAACCCAAAAATGGGAAGAGTATAAAACTAGAACAAGGACATGGGTCAAGTTCCCTGAGAGAGCTATAAGGAATCACAATTCTCTAGAACAGAATTTGAAATCAATGTTTTAAATGATTATAATATGTCTTGCATTAAAACTGGGGCAGGGAGGATCAGTGCTCACCTCAGAAGCAGTATGTATCCAGGTATGCCGCCTAGAGATAAAGTATAGGATGTGATGACTGAAATGACAAGGAAATACAGAAACATTTTGGGACATCCATTATCTTTCTGACACCTGCCCACCATGCCTGAGGAATTTCCTGACTTTGAGGCTGCAATCCCCACACAGGTACAGTTATAAAATATCTGTAACACAATAGAAAAAATTCCAATTATTGAGGTAACATCTAAATACAACTGAAAATACGTATTTGTTTAAATAGACTTTACAATATAGTATACGTGCATCATATAAACAATAAGGTAAATATTCTTTTATTTCTCTGTGTTAAGGTATAGTGAGCAAAGTGAAATCTATACAGATAACATTTTTTTTTATCCAAACAGCAGATGGTCAAACTACCGACCCTACCAAATAAGCTCCCAGTAAATCCTAGTAAATCCAAACATACCTTATCTCCTTCTCTGCCATTTCCAAGCTTAAGCCACCATTATTTCTTGCCTTGGTTATTGCTGTCATCTCTTTATGCTCAACTTATTTCCACTCTTATCCAGCTATCATTTGTTACCCACACAGTAACCAAAGTGAGCCTTTAAAAATGGCAGTCACTATTCTCAGCCTTCCAATAGCTTCTTATTATGCTTATACAAAATCCAAAATCCTTATAGAGGCTTACACACTATGATGGAACTCCTGGATCCCCCTCTGATCTCACGGCTCAATCATCTTCCCCCTCTCCCTCTGCTTCAGTGGCACATGTGGGTTTCCACTGTGCCCTTGCCAACCCTCAAACATGGTAAGTTTACCCATGCCTTATAGCCTAGCTGTTTTCTCTGCTGGGTAGCTCTTCTAGATAGCTGTAAGGCTGGTGCACACACCTCAGGTCTCTGCTCAGTTCGTTAAAGAGGACTTCCATGATGATCCATTCAAAAAAATACCCCCATCTCTCCATCCTTTATTCTAACTTACCTTTTCCTTACAGTGCTTATCATTACCCATTAGAGTATTATATAATCATTTGTTTTTAAACTATATATCCCCACTAGAATGAAACCTCTGGCAGAAACTGTCTGCTTTCTCATCATTGTACATGTAGAGCCTAAAGTGGGTCTTCTTTTTAGGCACTCAATAAAAATTTGTTAAATAAATGGGCATAATTTGAGGATATGACTTTTTAATGGTAACTAGGAAAAAAACCCTGAATAATAAACCTCAACTAAATCTTGGACAGAAAGGCAAATTTTATAATCCCTCATTAGTTTATTTTTGTAAATATCACAAAAGAGTTTGTGAATTTTTAGTTAAACAGTGAAATGAAGCTGGCATTTCCTTTCCAAGGAGCAATGTTGATCTTTTTTTTTTTTTTAATGAATGTCAGATAAAAAGCTTTTGAACCTTGACCTTGCCTCTTATTAGATACATGAGTTTAGGCACATCAGTGCCTCATTTCTCACATGAGGAAAATAAATAAAGTAATAACCAGTCACTTGAAGACCATGATATTTAAATCCCCCCCTTTTTTTAAGCACCTCTCTTAGTTCCTGGCATGAATGCCTTAGGTAAGTGAAGTTCCAGGTAAGGAAAACTTTCAAGCAGTTTAGACAAAAGAGTAGAGGCTGAAAGAAAAGGAAGGAGGAGGAGGAGCAGGGGGAAAGGGAGGGGAAAGGGATGGGAAAGGGAGGGAAGGAGAGGGGAGGGGAGAGGAGGGGAGGGGAGAGAAAGGGAGAGGAGGGAAGGGAAGGGGGAAAGAGAGAAAGAGAAAAGAGGGAAAGAGAAAGAAAGAAAGAAAGAAAGAAAGAAAGTTAAATGTAAATATTTATAATATACCGGAAATCAATGCTTACTTACTATAAAACTTAAGATAAATTTCTAGATGTCCACTTAACAATATGCCAAAGGGGTACACAGTTTTAAAAATTCTTTTAGAGTTTTATAAGCAAAAACACTTGGAATCATTAACATATATTCATGGATTAGAGAATTCAATTGATTCAAAAGTTATGAACAACCCCCCCCCCACACACCCATACATATAGATAATTCTAGTCAGAACAAGAAAAATAACCTACATAATAAAATAATAAATGTGAAGCATTGTGATATTAGATGAGTCTTTAAGCTATCTTAAAATTTTATCACTCATAATTCAGTGAAACCATGCTTAATCTAAAACACAATTAGCCTAGGGGCACCTGGCTGG